CAGTAACGGCCTCGCAGCCGGCGGCGGTCTCTCCCTGCTGCCCCTGCCGCGGTGGTGGGAGGTCTCGGAGGCCTGTGGGCCTCCCGCATCGTGTTTTGTGAGTGCAACGAGTGGCGGGTTTTGTGTCCCGCTGCCCTTGCTGCCTCTCTCACTGGTTGCTCAAAAACTTAAAACTGGGAGTTTTCCCACGAGTTTCAGTGCGTGGCGTATTGGGTACTTTCCAAGTCGACCGTAATTGTTAATCCCTGTTGGTGACAGTGCGAGATAACTGTGTGATTACCATTTAGGTTCTTAACGTTCAAGGTCCCGTTGTGGAATTTCCTTATTCCTGCACTCTCTTGTGACAGCTCTCTGAGATTGACTTAAAGCTGTTTGGATATCTGATGGCTATGATGAGCCTTATTCTACTTATGTGTGTTTTTAACATAGATGTTACTTTGAATTCTGTAGACTACGTGTAGTATTTTTTCAAGTGTGGTCACCCTTAAATCACTGATGGATAATTTCAGCTATAGCTGGAAATGCTTTTCTGATCCTAAGTTTTATTCTCTAACGCTGTATTTTAAACATGGGAATACCAAGTTAAAATGGATTTGTGCTTAGTTTCCATCACTAGCAATCCTGAGATTACTGGCTGCTTCTTTATTTGCAGTGATGATTCAGAAGGGTGTAATAGCAACAGAAACTTAAAGAAAAGAGTGCAAACAAGAGCAAAGGTCCTAAGCAACGAGTGGTTTGGAAGTATAAGGGTTTACCTTGCCAGCTTGCCATTGTTCTGCTTGTATTGTTAAAGATGACCACAGTGGAATTGAGAGAGCATAAGGATTGCCTCCAGCAGTGGTATCTGAGGCTTATATGTAGGTTAAGGACCTTTGAAGAGATGAGATTATGTTACACGTAATCTTGACAATATCTTCAGGATACTGCTATTACTAGGATTGCTGTAGTAGTAAACTCTGGATGTTATAAGAACACTATTTCTTGTCTTGGTACCTTCAATAACTATAGTGGTCAGATGAAGCCAGCATGGCTAATTCAGCTGCAGTGTGATTTAACTTGAGTCATCTCTTACATTTTTTCAGTTCTCTTTAAGTTAAAGTTAAACTCTTAACTGCCTGTGCTATTCCACTGTCAAAATACAAGGATACAAACCCCATAAATGTAGTTGCTAAGTATAATATAATTTTTATTTTGATCTCTTGCTCTAATTAGTGAATTTACATTTAAGCTCTGAAAAATGTGTTCAATGCTTGGAGTAAACATTGCAGATTTCACTTGTTAATATTTCAATAATGAACTTTCATACCAAATATGCACATGTTTGTACAAAAATGTAAACTTTATACAAAATGAAAACGTTTAATCCTTGCTTTAACTGCAAAAGCGTTGTCAGTTTCAGTAATGGGATTGTAGTCATAAAGCTTTAAAATACAGAAGTTTACCTACCTAGTCAAAACCTGTATTTTAAATGTATTTTTGTAGTAAGTTTTGCATCTTCTCTATCTTACTATAAAAATGCATAGGTATTACTGTAAACAAATAAGAAATTAGGGTTTTTTTGGGGAGGAGCATTGTAACAAAGCATATATTTTCTTTTTTTAGGTCATGATATCCACTTCCATAATAAGAAGATTGCTTTGCTGGAGGCTGGTCCTAGGAAAGAATATGATCGCATGCCAGACAGTTACAGTAACAGGGTCAGTTCCATCTCCCCAGGATCAGCAACCCTCCTAAGCAGTAAGTATAATTCCTATTGTTTGCATTTTTAACAGTATATTTGAGCTAGTTTTATTTTGTTTAAACATAACCTCTTTGAGCATGTGCTCCCTTAATCGTAAATGGAATTATTTGCCTTTGTCTTTTAGTATTCTATATGCTGAATTGTGATGATTAAATCAGGTTTCTTGTGATAACAGGAATCTGTGTTCTGGTATCTTGGTCTGATTTGTTATATAAATATTTGTGACATTAGGCTAGTGAAAGGTTGTAAGGTGCTCTCTATAGCATCTGGAATGTTCTGTTCACAAAAAAAGCACATACTTAGTGCTCTGTAGTCAGGTAACTCGCTTCTGATTAATTTTCATTTTAAAGACAGATTTGAGCCTTGATTCCTTACAGAGAAAGGAATGTTCTAAGCAGTGATGGCTGTGTGTTTCTGTGTGTCTGTTTTATTACTGAGTGATAGGACAGTGAGAGTTGACTTAAGCCACAGCGTTCACGGAAAGCTCTTGTTTCTTTTCTACTGGATTGTGTTAACAGTAAAATAATGTGATGCTGGAGCTGTGAAGGTACTGAGGCAGACCTGGCCCTGTCTGGTGATGGTGCAAGCAGAGTCTGGGCATTGATAGTCAAGGAGGGAGGAGGAGAGTGTAGAGTGAGCTCATTTTGTTTGGGTCCTAATATGATGCGTGAACCTGCATCTCCATGCATTTGCGTCCTTTTTCTCTTTTAGGTTTTGGTGCCTGGGATCATGTCTGCAGTCTGAGACTCAAACCGTTCCGGCGAATGCAGGTGCTTTACTTAGGGCTGCAAATATACTATGTGTCTGTCTACTTTGAATTCTCAGAAGTACTTACGTTAATGATCCAAAGGTTTTTTTCTTTGGCAAAGGGCAGGTCATGCTTATGATGGTTCCTGTTACTTTTTTTGGGGGTAGCAGTCTACTCAGAAATCCTCAGGATCTTGATGTTGCAGGATGAAAGGTTGATTCCTAATGGAAGCTGTAGATGTTGAGGCATGGGTACTAGTCAGGAAATAAAGGTAAAGATGTATGTTGGTTTTGGCTGGTAGTTTTCTTCATAGTAGTTTGTATGGTGCTATGTTTTGGATTTGTGATGAAAACTGTTGTTAACCACAGGCATGTATTAGCTATGGCTGAGCAGTGCTTACACAGCGCCAAGGCCTTTTCTGCTTCTCACACTGCCCTGCCAACGAGCAGGCTGGGGGTGCAGAAGAAGCTGGGAGGGGACACAGCTGGGACTGCTGACCCCAACTGACCACAGGAATATCCTACACCATATCCCATACCATGCTGTATGCTCAGCAGCAATAAAGGCTGGGGAAAGGAGGAGGAAGGGGGATGTTCAGAGTTACAGCGTTTGTCTTCCCAAATAACTGTTATGCATGATCAAGCCCTGCTATCCTGGTGATGGCTGAACACCTGCCTGCCAATGGGCAGTAGTGAATTAATTCCTTATTTTGCTTTGCTTACACATGCAGCTTTTGCTTTACCTATTAAATGGACTTTATTTCAACCCATGGGTTTTCCCACTTTTACCCTTCTGATTCTCTTCCCCATCCCACTGCGGGGGAGTGAGCGAGCGGCTGTATGGTGCTGAGCTGCCTGCCAGGGTTAACCCACAACAAGGTGGTAGGGTAGTTTTGTGTGTTAATTATGTAACAGGAAAGTAGAGATAAAAAACTTCTCTTGCAATCAGTTTTTGAGACGAAGCTCGATCCTTGTATGAAAGGAATTACATGGTGTACTTCAGTAGCTGGGAATGGACAGTAATCCAGGATGTTTCCTCTATTCTGTATTTCTAGATTGCCGTGTCCTTTTGCTGATAAGATGGATACATTCATAGTTCCTGAAAGGAACAGCACTTACTTATCATGTAGCTTCATGTAATGTATTTTTTCTTTGTAGGTGTGGGATGCTTGTTCAGAAGCCATGATCGTTTTTGAGAAAGATGACTTAGATGACATGGGTTACATAGTGGAGAATGATGTCATTATGTCTGCTCTCACAAAACAGTTAGATGCAGTAGCAGGTAGTGGACAATTTCTTTAATATTTTATTTCCTGCAGACAGCTTTCAGTTACTTGCTTTCTGTTGTGTGTGCTAAGTTATGAAAGGGAGAAAGATAATTAATCTAACAAGTAACTCTGAGACATAGGCAGCTTCTTGAATTGGGGGGGAGGGAGAAATCTGTCTTCCAAAGGCTACACAGCAATAAAACAGTTGCATATGTAGTTCTTCAGAACATAGTCTCTCCAAAAATAGACTTAGTGAAAAGATCTGTAGCTTTCTGTCCAGAGCAGGTCTTGCAGTGACAAAAGGTTGGCCAGATCTGTTCTTTCAGGGTGCCTTGAGAATTGTAGGGTCAGCTCTTGGGGTGCCATTATGACATGCATGGCCTTTGCTGTTTTAGCGATGTTTCCTTTTTTCATGTCTGTAACATGCTGTGACCATAGTACTTTGTGTTCCCATCAGACCGGGTGGAGGTTTTCTACGGGAGCAGAGCAGTCGGGTATACCTGGCCCCTTCCCTCTCACAGCTGTGACACAAGCCCTTGGGTCCAAATTGAGTTAGCTGATGGACGCAGACTTCAGACCAAACTGCTGGTAACTAAAGTTTTTATTTCTGTTGATCAGGCGTCACCTCTTGCCCAAGTCCTTTCCACTGGATTTGGTTCTGATTCCGTGTGTGCCGCTCCACCCACGTGGAGGGCTCGAGTGAGGTGAGTGGCTAACTCTGTCAGAGATGCTATGGGACA